GCCCTTGGAGGTCCAAGGCAGAAATTTTGAATGTCAACTTTTCCGTGGAATCTGTGACAGACTAGGCATGAAGAAAACCAGAACCACAGGATTGCACCCACAATCCGATGGAATGGTAGAGTGAATGAATAAGACCATTGGTAAATATCTATCAAAAGTGGTTTCAAACCATAAGCAAGATTGGAATCAGTATCTTTCGCTCTTTGCAATGGCTTATAGATCCGCTGTCAATGAATCAACAGGCCAAACACCAGCAACGGTCTTGTTTTGGCGTTAGATGAGACTACCGTGCGACCTCGAGTTTGGATACCGACCTGGAGAAGATGTAGCTGGTGAAGATTATGTGATTCAGTTACGAAAAAGAATGGACGATATGCATGAATTGGTCCGCTCGCATCTTCAAATCGCCAGCGACATGAAGCAGCGATATGATACCCAAGCCATGGAGGGAGGTTTTAAGGAAGGCGACAAAGACTGGCTTCATAACCCAAAAAGACAAAAGGGTTATTCTCCGAAGCTTCAAAGGTCTTGGGAAGGTTCGTATCTCATCAAGAAAAGAATCACCGATGTCATTTACCGTATAAGTAAGATCCCAAACGGTAAACCGAAAGTAGTGCATCAAAACAGGCTGGCGCCATTTGAGGGTGACCACAAAGAAGAAGTAAAACAACTTCAAGAAACAGCAGACCTTGTCTTTGAAGAGTTTATGGGTGCATATGGAGGTACTGAAAAAGCCAGATATGGTGTTACGACCGAGGAACAACAAGATCTGCTCTCGCTTCCAAAAGACTACTCGCTGGTCCATAGCACTTCCGCCAGCATCAACGACGCGCGAGGACTGGCATATGTGTTCCGTAAGAAGTTTGGTAGACTGGTAGAACTTCAATGTCAGTTACCAGCCCTTGGAAAAGCCTTGAATCTTCAAGACGGGTTACGTTATCTTTTTTATTTAATAACGAAGAACACCTTCCAAGATCGATCCACCAATCAGGATATATGGGAAGCATTACTTAGTCTAAGGGAGCACGTACAAGAGTCCAATGTACAGAAACTAGCCATGCCAAAGATAGAAGGAAATCAGCTGGATTGGAGGATCATTAGGAACATGGTGGAAGTAATTTTTCAATATACCGGAATCCAAATACTTCTCTGCAGCCATTCGCATAGTGCCCAGGTTACAGCAGATACAATCATTCCAGTTTAGTTTCGTAAGAGTTACAGGAGGAATTATCTTTTAAGGAGGGGACAATGTTATGTGAGCCATTTCATTATTTAGTCATGCTCTAACCCTCCAAGTCCCTCTCTGTCTTATTTCGCCTTTGAGGCTCAACTTGTCCGATTATTATACATAATTAAACCCCTTAAGACCAAACTTATGTGACGACTATGGCGGAGTTGCTTTCGAGACTTTTCCAGGTAAAACGTGATAATGTTTCTAGTTTTGGCGGAGAATATTCTACAACATTCACCATAATTTTAAATTGGTTTATAAATATTGGTGAAGGTGAACGCTGTGTTAGTTATATATGGACAGTGAATATAAATAGTGAACAGTTCAAAGACATTCGAAATATATATAAATTAGAATAGTATTGTTTAAAATAAATAATTGTTTAAATAAATTATTTACAAATAAACTGTTGTTTGAATTTAACCAAACATCACAATAATAAAAAAATAAACAGAGCTCTAGCAAACCCCACACCAAAGCCACAGAAATCTTACGAAATTATGTCACTTTGGTCGGGCTAATCTGTTTTTTAATTTTCCTTGTATATTGTGGTCATAGCTACATCAAATATACTGCTAGAAATTTCTTCTGAGGGTTTGTTAATCAAGAGACAAACTTAATGGACCATGATTATCCGCACGAAAAATTAATTGACGGGGGGAATTCCTGCAATTGAAACATTGATTTTTATTTGATTCAATAAATATTGACTATCCAGATGTCCATTTAACAGTTTATGCGAAAAGAGAAGGTTGATTATAACAAACTTTTAAAAAAATGCCAATAAATCAACCAGAATATTACTACTCCCTAAATTAAAGAATAAAGATACAAACACAAACATATACACGATCAAGAACAAACACTTAAACACGTATGGTCACCTAGCAAGAATGAACGCAAACAAAATAACGGAAAAATTAATGAAAGCAAGTAAATCAAATAAAATAGAATAATTACAGTTGATAGAGATAAAGACACTAGCCAGGAAAACAAATAATTTATTGAAAAAATGGGTTCAGGAAGAAAGCATATCCCAATCAGACATTTAAGAACCACACAAAATCACACATTTTTCTCAAGTAATTAATAAAATACACTATGTTAGCGATATATAAGTTATGTAACTTTTTTGTTTTTCTAGATAAAACTTGGATATTTTTGAAAGGGCCCAATCATTGGGACGTTTAACACGGCCCTGGCACTATTATATGTATAAAATTAGAATTTTAGCGATTGTATATTCGTAGCTAACCGTTAGTTGCTATAGTTTATTAGTGTAAATTAAAGGACCTTGGCTAGAATTTAATTGACTAAACGTGAAATTTATTCTGGATTTCAAAAAAAAAACAAAATGTAAAACTTATGTTCTTGATTTTCGGGAAACTAATTGGACTTTTAAAATTGGTGAAGCCAGCTACTGTGGCGTGATTATTCATTCAAATCACTCTGGAATTTCAAAGAGTAAATTCAAACAAAAAATAAAACATATATGGAAACTAGAAGGTACATATACTTTTTTATATAGAAAATAGAGGCATTGATTTCTAACAATGAACTTTCTATTTTTTCTTTTTGAATAATCAATAATACAAATTAGTTTTGTTTGAATTATTAAACAACGGGAAAATTACCTATTTTCTTATTTGACTTTCAATTCTATTTTATAACAACTGGGATACAAAATTACAAAAAAATTTCCTTACGGGATATTCGATAGGTTAAATTTAGTTGAATATTTTTGGCCAGTTCTTATCCAACATTTATATAGGTTTTATTAAAGATATTTTTCTACGATCACTATCCAAAGTAGGCTTTTGCACATTCACATCTAACTGGAAAGTTGACGTTTTCCAAGAATTGTCATAGTTTGACATTATTGACGCATATAGGCTAAAAGGTATTTATTGTACACGCCTATTTTCATTAGAAAATTTCATTAGAAAGGTTATTTTAAAGCTAATCGGTAGTTTAAAAGAAAATGTAGACTTATCTAAATCTTTTAGTTGAACATTTAATATTCAAACTCATTTTCCTTAATATTTAAATGATAATTAAAATATTAAAAATAAATTAACCTGTTTTTAATACTCATATTTAACATGTCTTGTTGGTGTAGAGCCTAGCGCGTTTGTCTTTGAACCTGATGGTCGTAAGTTCATTCCTCAACAGTTATTATTTATTTTTTTTTAAATTTGTTTTTTTGCTTGTAAAATTAAATAAAACTAAAAACAATGTATGAGCCATTAATTTGCGATTTGAGTATCGTAGCCGATGATCTTGTAAGTTATTTTTAAGATGTACTTACTAACAAATATTTTTTTAGATGTACTTACTAGGAAATATTTTTTATGCTAATCATAAAATTAATCTACAAGCAAGCAGGCCACAATATACACAACATACTTTTCGTTTGCTAATCTGTCAAATTAACGTAGTAAGATTTGAATTCGGCAAAATAAAACTAAATACTTTTAATATCGTGTGATCGTAGAATAAATCTTATGTTTAATTCGAGCGGAAAGCACTCCGCTGCGTGTCGCGCCGAAACTTTTTATCTTGAGCGCAAAAGTAGCACATTCCGCTCTTAATACACAATAATTGCAATCCCTTTAAATGTATTTATTGTTTCCCCTTTTAAGATTTTTATTAAATCTTTAGTTTTTTATTCCTCTATAAGGGTTAATTTCTAAAGAAGGAATTGTTTTGTTAATTAGGTTTCATAATAGTTATTTTTCACAGTTTTTATATAATTACAGTTACTTTGTTTTTGTATGTTTTATATTGTTGTTTAATTTCGAGGTTATTAGAGTATTTTAATGTTTATTGGAAAGGTTCATTCTTTTTAATTATCTCTTCCAGTAGCTGGTGTGTGATTCTTGGACATATTTTATGTGTTTTTCTTCTTAATTGTATTTCTCTTGTTTTATATTTTACTGAAATAGGCAATATACTAATCAATGTATTTGTTGCATAATTAACTTCCTTTTTAGTCAATATAACAATATCATCCGAAAATACATTATTTTCATATAAATAAAAAGTTTACTGGTTTATTCGGTCGTTTTTATTGTTTTTATAAAATTTAACACTACATATGTTTCGGAATACACAGTGCCAGTCAATATTTAATAAAACAATATCTAATTAACGATGGCTTGGGCGCAATAGGTCGTAACCCACAAAAAATTGTGTTTTAGCTTTTTTGGCGCCATTTGATTCTAATAGTTACTACTATGTCCATACAATACATCGTAAGCCTCATCACTATTAAAAAATCTCTCTATTCTATTATTTCCAAAGGTCATATCCCTGGAATGTAAAAGTGAAGGGCAATAGGTCGAAAACCACAAAAAATAATTTCAGTGCAATATATCGTAACCCTAGCAAATTGTTTATCTGTTGTGAGTGTTCTACCAAAAAAACGCTGCAAAAGTTTAGTTATTTAAATGTTTTTAACAGTTTTTTGTGTTGTACATAGAAGGTAAGTGTATATTTTTATTATAGACATAAAAATATTATAAACAATAATTTTCTAGACTATGTTTATTGATTTATTTTTTGGAACAGCATGCGAATTCATAATCTAGGTTAGATTTAAATTTGTGAGTTACGACGTATTGCACTACCAGGTAATACGTCGTATCCCTTATTTATAAATAACTTGAAGCTGTGTACGTGTTTAGGACTGCCAGTTTTTTATGTTTAAATATATATATACTTTTTTTTAATTTTCATCTGTTTACTAGATTGTTTGGTTCTTTACAGGATGTCCACTCGAAGTGACCAGCTGCGTTGCCGATTATACGACAACCGAATTAAAATTACAAAGAAAAAACTTATGGATTTACAAGAACTGACTTCAGTATTATCTAAAGAAGTGAAGGATTTTTACTCAAGCTTAGCGTATCAATCAGAAGATAAGAATCAAGGAAATAAGAAGGCTAAGCAAAAAACAGAATCAGATGAATCGGAAAACAACCAAGAAAAAACTAATTTAGAAGAAACTAGTTCAAAGAATAAAGCTACAAACCTAAAATCTACTACAAAATGTAAAAATAAAGGAAATGAGGAAGCTAAGCAAAAAACAGAATCAGATGATTTGAAAAAGAAACAAGAAATAGTAAGCAATAGCGAAATTAGACATGCAAAAAAGAAACCTTTAAAACGAAAATCTGCAACCAGAACCGAAGAGAACGGACAATTCAAAAAGTGTACTTAAGGAGATGCCTTGTAAAAGAAAACAAAAAAAAGTAAATAGAGTAAACCCCGCCATTAAATTAATTTTTTTAATACATGCAAAAAACACATTTACCTTGATTTCAGTATTTTCAAAGATATTTTATGTTGTTTAAAATAAATATTTTTGATACTTTGGTCAAAAAAAAAACATTTAATTTCACATTTATCTGGTTATAATACAATTTGTCGTAAGCCACACACGAGCCTCTATTTTATGATAACCCTGTAAATACGATATAAATGGGACGTAACCCACCAAAAAAGAATACGCAATAGGACGTCTCACACAAAAAATAATTTAAAAATGCACTTAAAATACTTTGACTGATTACATTTTAGTTGTAATTGACCTAATAAAATATCAAACATGTCTTGAATATCGTAACTGTAAAATATTTTGGGCCTACTGTAAAAATTACTGTTACGACCTATTGCACCTAAGCCATCAAAGAATAATAAACCATAAAAATAATATCGCAACTAATAATGAATATTCCACTACCATAACTAAATATGCGTTAAAAAATTTGCACTCTTTCGATTTTGAAAATGTAAGAATTCTCGAAAATGAACCAAATTCCAACAAAAGAACAATCCTTGAGATGATACATATTAAGGAGGTCCTTTCGCCACACCTCTCGCCTCAAATGTTAAAAAAAAAGTTATTAGATTATGACTAAAATTAATTTTTTTCTAATAGTTGAAGTCCTTATTTATCTAGTACTGAACTTTTAACTATACCTTACCTTGCAAATTTTTGAGAATTTTTTTTTTAAAATGTGAGTATTTGTACAGTGCCTCACGAGAAAGTAAGTCCTCAACAACAATTCTCGAATTATACTATTATTTATTGATTAGATGGAGTAGAAAAAAACTAAAAATAAGGTTTTTGAAATATTTAGATTTTGTTTTATACAATAAAATATATATAGTAAACCGTGGAACTTATTGAGAAATTAATATTAAAAATCACAAAAAATTTTCAAGTAACCTAGTTGTTTAGAATAAATTATAAAGCTGCTATAAAGTTAAGTTAAATAATTTGTTGTACAAACAGATATAACAGATCTGTTTCTACAACAAATTTTATTAATAATTTTGTAATAAAATTTAATAAAAGTGTAGTCAATACTATTTTTTGTGTTTTCTGTAACCCTTTAGTGATCGGCAAACTCATTAGTCAACAGAGCCAAATAACAACGCCTGAGATTTCTTTTGAGAGCCAAATTTTTTTAAACTTAAAATATATAGATCTATATTGCTGTTAATTTAATTAGGGTACTGCTAAGCTGACATTTGCTAAAAAAACGTCCTCAATCTGATTAAAGTACACTGAGAGAATTATATTTAAAAAGTTTTTTGTTGAGAAATTTCTTGCTACCACAAATAAATTTTCAGCTACAATTAAAATAATACATTCATGCAACTAAATCAAATGCTTTTTAAAAGTAGTTTTGTCGCCATACAAAAAAAAAATTGTTACCCTTGCAAATATTTTTTTTCAGTCTATAGAACCAGCAAAAATAATTTTTGCTTTTAAAAATAGTTTTTAATTACTACACATTTATTTTCTGCAGTAGAAATTCAAAATATTAATACGTATATTTTCCATCATAACAATTTGCTGTTTAAGTCCAATAAAAAATATCTTTAGAAAATAACGATCGGTTTCGATCGAGAGCTTTTTCGTCTATGCTCGAGAACATTTTTGTATATTCGGCGAACTCCGTTCAGTCCGTTCCCGGTATATCGGCAGGCACAGACAAGAACAAGTGAATGATTTGTGATTTTAGTTATAATTAGGCATTCCAAACTGAATGGCTACCAGTGGGTTTTGACGGGTTATGATATGGCAAAATTATGGCAACCCTGTAGACCTGGTGATTTGACAAGGTCAATGAAATAGATAGTTACATAGATTGATCATCCAAATTTTTCAAAATAAACATAAGCTTATGCCTTGAAGTAAAAATGTAAGCAATTATTTTTTTTTAAATATCTAAAGGCTAAAAATTGGTTTTAAAACACATTTTTGCTAAACCGATTCAAATTAATAAATATTTGCCAGGCAATATGGCCGCTCGTAAACGACCAGCTTTGAGCAATCTATATAACTATATATGTATCATTGACCCTGTTAATGACAGCATGACAACAGGGTTGCCATATGTAAACTGTCATTACCCACTGGTAGCCATTTGGACAGGTCGTTGGAATGCCTAATTACCCTAGCCGCCAGCAAATGTCATCCACGTTACGTTGGAAAATCGTAGGTCTGACGCCATTTTGGCAATAATTGTGCATAAGTTGTGTTCGTTTTACAATGGATTACACAGAGAAGCTGACTAATTGGGGACTTCAAGATTTTTTTGAAAATTTTAAGGGTAAGTACATAACGTATAATATAAAAGTATTTTATATCTACTAATTTATCGGTTTCAAATGTATTGACCCTTCACTTTAACGTTAATTAACAGTAGATAAGGGGAAAAATCTTGCAAAGTTTTTTCATTAAGATATCAGAAATTCCTTTTTTTATTTTGATGAAACTTGGCAAGGCTATTTTGAGTACGGAGGGTTAAATTTATTTGTGACGTTAACAGATATTTCTAACAAAACACATGTATGGCAGTGTTTTTTGATATTTTTATTAAATTAAGAAATAGAAAACAAAAATGTTTTGTAATTGTTTTTTTTTGCACCACTTTTTGGCAAATTAAACATGCACATCTGTATAGCGTTTAGGTATACATGAAATAACCTAGAATAAGAAATAAGTATTAGTAGAAAATATGGCAAACTTTTATCTTTTTAGGTATACCTTATTTTATTTTTTGTTTGGAAATTGATAATGCGCATGCCCCAAATGTTTTCTGTTTTAAATGTTCCGGCTTAAGTTTTTTTAATGAATTTTGACAGTTTTACAAAGGATTCGGGAGACTGAGTCATTTTTTGCAACAATTAAAACTGCCTGTTCAAGGTAACAAAATACTTTTTAACTGCAAGAAAAATACTGTTTAACCACTAAAAAACTACTTTTTAGTGAGTAAAATTTTACTTTCCAACCACTAAAATTAATAAAAACTGAAAAGTACGTGTTTAGGGACTAAAAAGTACATTTTTTTAAAGAAATTTTGACAGTTTTAGAAGGATTCGGGAGACTGATTCATTTTTTGTTGCATTTAACAGTATAATCTTAGCTTCTACAGACCTTAAAAACCTAAATTTAAACATTTCTCAAAAATACATGATATTAATTTTTATCTAAATTCTTAACTAACTGAGCTAGGAGAGGGGGTTTCTAGGAGCCACGACTGGTGCTCGAGTTTAATAAAATTCGAAATTTGCGTTTCTGTTAATAAAATATTTTTTTTTTCTAGATATTAAGGAAGGATCGTTTGGAATGGCCCACCTGGTAGATAGAAGAATGTTATGTTTTTATGTTCCTACCTATTTTAGTTAATAATCCTAATGGCATGGATTTTCTTATTCTATTTATATTATAATAAACAGAAAACAATATATTTAGATTAAAATTTCTTTTAGGATTTTTCACAAAGAATAAATACCGGATTAATTTAAAGCTACTAACTGCTCATTTTAAATTTCTTGATACATATGCCTTACGTTATTATACGTCTAAAGACAAATAAATTTAAGATATTAAATAACAATTTTATATTACATAACCTACTGAATTTTTAAAATTCAAATACATTTTTGAAATATTTAGCAATATAACTAATATATTTATTATAAAATAATCGTTTTTTTAATTTTTGAAACCCTTCCTTTCCTATGCTTATCTGTATTTCCACCACAGGTTAAATAAAAATTTATGTAAATTATATAGGTAGGTATATATTAGGTAAATTTTGTTTTAATAATTATTATATATAGTTTCTAATGCACGGCTAAAAAGTTAATTTTTCCATTTTTACAGAACTGGTTTCATTATGAACAAATATAAAGTTCAGTTATCCTCGGTAAATCTGGAAATTTGACATTTAATACGTGCAAAACATTCTTGTATTTCGACTTTAACTGAACTTTATTTTTTTTATAGAAAAAACGGCCTAAGAGCTGAAGAAACCAGCCCTAAATAGCAAAATTTACTTTTAACCATCAACAAATACAAATAAAAATTAACTGTATATCATTAAAATCTACTTTTTAAAGGTAAAAGGTTACTTTTAAACCACTACACACTACTTTTTAACCACTAAAACCAATTTTTTTAAAGGTAAAAATTAATTTTTTATCAATTAGAACTACCTTTTAAAGGTAAAAAAAATATTTTTTTAATGCAAAGAAAGTAATTTCTTAATCAGTACCTAATTTTAAACCAATAAAAACTACTTTTAATTAATAAAAACTATTTTTTAACCACTAAAAGCCTAATTTTTAACCAGTAAAATCTATTTTTAAGAGATAAAAATAATTCTTTAACAATTAAAACTGCCTGTTCAAGGTAACAAAATACTTTTTAACTGCAAGAAAAATAATGTTTAACCACTAAAAACCTACTTTTTTACCATAAAAAACTACTTTTTAGTGAGTAAAATTTTACTTTCTAACCACTAAAATTAATAAAAGCTAAAAAGTAAGTTTTTAGGGACTAAAAAGTAAGTTTTTAGGGACTAAAAAGTAATTACAAAAAAGTGAATTTATTATCCGTAGCAAAGTACTTTGGCTGTCGCCTATTTTAATAGAGTTTTTTTAAGGGTTAATACATTTTTTGTTACCATAGCAAAAAATTTTCCTCCGTGTACGTTTGCTTTTCTCGACCCTTTTAAACTCTCTCATCCACACTTGTCTTATAAACTTCTTTCGTCTATCTGTTATCGTTCATTATTATTAGAAAAAATATACGAGCGATAGGCTATAGGTACTGTGAGTAATCATCCATCTCTATATTTTGTGTATCTTGACTATACAGTATGGTTCAAATGAAAGGAATAAATTCATTATAATGGAAGT